AGGTCATTTGCAGTTGGTTTGAATCATCAGACACTGCAGGTCTACTTTATTGAGGTGAGTGTGAGTGAGCTCTAGTCCTAACAGCCCGAAACAAATGGAGGAATTCTAGTGGCCTGGGAAATTTTTTTCACATCTTGACATTTTAAAGAGTCAGATAGAAAAGGAGAAACTGAGAAGACAACTGTTGGCCTTTAGCTAAAATTCAGTGACAAAATGTTATCAGGGACAAAGTATTTCTCTCCCATCAAATCTTATTCCAGGCCTGGGGGAATTTCCAGTCCCCAGATGTTTCAAGTTACAACTTACGCAGTTCCTTGCCATTAGCCATGGTAGTGGTGGGAGTTCCAGTCTAAAATACCTGAGGAATGACATTTTCCCCATCTCGGTACCAATCTCAGTAACTCTCCTAAACATACTAAGAAATCACATGTTGCCCTACTATAGTTGCTGTTGATAAAGTGGTCCTAGTAGTTTCTTGCCCATGTTTTTAAAACTTTTCTATTTTGGACAACTATCAGAAGCCTCCCTCTCCACCCCTCATGGTGTCTAGGAGATTCTGGGAGCTGGTGGCCAAAATAGTCCTGATTATCCTTGTCTCATGCTCAGGGTTAGCCCTGAAGGCTAGCTAATGCTAGCTAGACAATGCTGCCACCTATTGCACAGACTGCACTATTGCATCTGTTCATCAATCTCTCAAGCCAAGGTGCCCTAGGTCACTGATTCTTAACCTTGGGTTACTCAGGAGTTTTGAACTGCAACTCCTAGAAGCCTTCACCACCAGCTGTCCTGACTGGGGTTTCTGGGAGTTGCAGTTCAAAAGTATCCGAGTAACAAAGGTTAAGAACCACACTTTTGAACTGCAACTCCCAGAAACCCCAGTCAGCACAGCTGGTGGTGAAGGCTTCTGGGAGTTGCAGTCCAAAACTCCTGAGTAACTCAAGGTTAAGAACCAGTGCCCTAGGTCAGAATTTGAAAAATAGGGGACACCGCACCTATGTTGTTCAAAATCAGGCAGCTAATATTCTGTGAAAGAGTGCTTAGGGGAAAAGGACAGGCTTTTCACAATAAGCTTTCTATAAAATTAAGTTGCAGTCTAACCTAACTTCTAGAGACTAGCCTACGCAATGATCTTAGCTTGAGTAAATAATTTTATCCTCGCAAGCTATTCTGAGCTGATTCTACACCCCCACCCTGCATTATACAACACTAATGTTGTGTTGTATTGTATTGTTTTTTCTCCTCTTTTGCTTCTTGGTTAGTGCCTGTCAAAAACATTTTGTCCCCTGAAACAAACAGCCAGCCACCCAAAACACTCACCCAAAGTTGTACCAAAAGCCCATCCCATTCCTGTGGCACAGGAGGCAGAACATTTATTTATTTATTTATTTATTTATTTATTTATTTATTTATTTATTTATTTATTTATTTATTTATTTATTTATTTATTTATTTATTTATTTTACCCCACCTTTCTCCTTAAAAGGACCCTAGGTAGCTGGCATCATTAAAAGACAATATAAAAGTCAACAATAGTGACTGTGCAAATATTAAAAAGGACCAACCAAATATCATTCAAAAAACATAAGCAATACCAAAACATATTCAAAGCAGCACAGTCCAACAACACATTTTAGAAAACCTGCTTAGTCAGTCGGTCACTCAGGGAAAGACTGCCTGAAAAGAAAGATCTTCACTGCTTGTGAAGGGCAGCAGAGATGGGGCCAGCCTGGTCTCTTTTGGGAGGGAGTTCCAGAGTCTGGGAGCAACAACACAGAAGGACCTCTCTTGTGTCCCCACCAAATGCACCTGTGAAGGTAGCAGGACCGAGGGAAAGGCGTCTCCTTATGAGCAGGCTCCTAAATCTATTTATCTTCGCAACATGATGGGCATACATATCTATACACATACAAAACACTACCCATTTAAGAGTTCTCCTTTGTCCTCCCAGGCCACATCAGAAGGCAGCTTTATCAGTTGTTTGAGTAGGCTGTTGCTAACAACAACAACAACACTGTGGGGAAAACATTTCTCAGGGATTCTTTCCACACTTTAGTATATACACAGCCATATAGTCAGCAAGCGTGTGTATGCATGTATGTCCGGATGTTAAATTTTCTAAATGAAATATATTCTCATTTGCATGATCTGCTAGCATTTCTGTTTTATTTTGCAAGCACTCTTCATGTTTTGGCCTTCCATAAATGAAACATAAGCAAGCCTAGATCATATAACATATAAGGACCATACCTGTGCATCGGGGGAAATGCAGCCATCGCTGCAGCCACTCCTGGGATCAACCTGCTGCCATGAGCAAAGTCTGCCTTTACATTTTATCCAAGGCTGGAGAAAATAAATTATAGTATTCTCTGACTGATCTCTGATTTTTATGGTCGTGGATGGGCTGGGAGAGAGGTGTGTATGCTTGTACGTGCGTATTCAACCAGCCCCAGACATTTTAAGGGCAGCTTAGGTATTTAGGGCAGGCCGTGTAGCACACATCGTACTCCTTCAACTATCTCACAGCTATTTCTCTCTCACACATGCAGCCACCCCCATCTCAGGAACCACTTCACACAACCTGACAGCAGGGCCAACACACGCTATCAAAGAAGGGCGCCTGCTCTCCCTGCAAATCCTAAATTTATCTGCTAATACACATGGAAGGACACACTGTATTGTACCAGCATGTGGTGCACATATGGATTATGCTAACTTACCACCATTAGAAATGAGCACAGAACCACCGCTTCCGTGGTGTTATCAGATCACTGTTATCAAAGGGTTGGGTTTTTGATCAGGGGAATAAATTGTTCTTGCATTTTACATGGCAAATATGAGAGAAATTCAAATTTTTATTGGGTGAGAAGAAAAGAACATTTAAAAATCTGCAATGTTTTTCTCTGTTTATACTTCAACAGATTTAAAAAGACCTCTTGGCCTTTTGAGAATGGTCAGAAATATTACAATTAATGCTGTGCCCTGCAGCAACACATTCAGTAAGGATCTTCTCCATAGAAAAGAAGGCAAATACAAATCATATTCCAATTAACAATTCCTCCAAGCAAATATGCTGATCCAATAGGTGATAGGTGATGGGCACATGGTAGGCACAGCTAATTTCATTCATTTGGAGGTTAACAAACAAGGATTTAGGGCAGGTCGTGTAGCACACATCGTACTCCTTCAACTATCTCACAGCTATTTATCTCTCACACATGCAGCCACCCCCATCTCAGGAACCACTTCACACAACCTGACAGCAGGGCCAACACACGCTATCAAAGAAGGGCGCCTGCTCTCCCTGCAAATCCTAAATTTATCTGCTAATACACATGGAAGGACACACGGTATTGTACCAGCATGTGGTGCACATATGGATTATGCTAACTATCTCACAGCTATTTATCTCTCACACATGCAGCCACCCCCATCTCAGGAACCACTTCACACAACCTGACAGCAGGGCCAACACACGCTATCAAAGAAGGGCGCCTGCTCTCCCTGCAAATCCTAAATTTATCTGCTAATACACATGGAAGGACACACGGTATTGTACCAGCATGTGGTGCACATATGGATTATGCTAACTTACCACCATTAGAAATGGGCACAGAACCACCGCTTCCATGGTGTTATCAGATCACTGTTATCAAAGGGTTGGGTTTTTGATCAGGGGAATAAATTGTTCTTGCATTTTACATGGCAAATATGAGAGAAATTCAAATTTTTATTGGGTGAGAAGAAAAGAACATTTAAAAATCTGCAATGTTTTTCTCTGTTTATACTTCAACAGATTTAAAAAGACCTCTTGGCCTTTTGAGAATGGTCAGAAATATTACAATTAATGCTGTGCCCTGCAGCAACACATTCAGTAAGGATCTTCTCCATAGAAAAGAAGGCAAATACAAATCATATTCCAATTAACAATTCCTCCAAGCAAATATGCTGATCCAATAGGTGATAGGTGATGGGCACATGGTAGGCACAGCTAATTTCATTCATTTGGAGGTTATAAAACGGTCTACAAGCACTTAATGTGTCATTTCAAGCTTCAGTGAGAAACATTAATACAATTTTTACCTGCAATATGGAAGACTGTGTGTGTAGCCACTTAATCACTAGTTGATGCTTGAAATAATGACTTTTTTGCCTTCATCCTGTTGAATCATGCTGGCACTAGGTCATCTCTACCCTATCCCTCCTGCCATTGGAGTTTATTCAGCACAGAATCTCACAGCATTAATTTCTATGGGCATAATCACACATGTATTTTTCTAGTTGTCTCCAATCTAGTTCCTGACATACAGTGATTATCCCTAGTGTACTCTATTTGGAGATACAGTACACAACTTCTGGACTTGGCAGCTCCACTTAACTAGCAGGGCTACCAACAACTAGAAAACTGAGCTTTATAGAGGAGACTCCTTGAGACTATCCAAGCAAGTGGAATCTATCAACACTTCTTCTAAGCCATCTATTTTGTATGGATCCTTTATCCACATACATTAGCAGATATAAATGTCAAGTGTGCAGGTGGTAGGCTATATAACCTACATCAATATTTTTGCTAATTATACCACTAAAAATAAATGAGGCATCCTATTGTCTTCAACTGTAATCAGGCCAAATCACTGATGAGGAATGATGGAAGCTGTGCTTCAAGAACAACCAGAGATCCACAAGACAGAGAACCTGTATCTCTGTTATAAGTAGCAGAATTAGAGGATTCTGCCTTATTTCTAGATAATACTAGATGTTCATGAGGAAACCCTCATGTCCACCATATGTTCCACCACCATACATATGTCTGTATTTAACAGAAAAACCAGGGATGAACCTTGTGTCTGCAAAGCATTGTTCTGCCATCTGACCTGTCACCTGACTGCTGTTGGTAATATATTGTAGACAAGCTAAATAGCAGAGTCAATTGCCATCTGACCTGTCACCCGACTGCTGTTGGTAATATACTTTATTGTAGACAAGCTAAATAGCAGAGTCAACCATTAAAACCAGCATCCATCAAAACTCTGTTAGATAATTTTAATTTTTAAAAAACCAAAAAAAAACTTTCCAGACTTCTTGTTCATGTACATACACAGGCTTAAGATAACAAAACATTATTTCAAAAGATGCTCTGGGCACGCCTATTTAATCCAGTTCTTTCATTGACATACAACTGCAAGTTAGTCTGCATGTTGAAGTATATATCATAGTTCTCATTCTTAAAGAATTTGACCTCCATATACTCTTGGGTGGCATAAAAAAATTAAAATATTACAAAGCAAGACTATTTAGATACCCATAACTGCTCTATAAACAAAGTTAACTGGGGCCACCTTCAGAAAACTACTGAATGCCAGATTAATATAGTGCTGTTTAAGATTATAAGCTACACAGTCATGAGGGAAATTTTCTTCCATAAGGAAAACTGTTGAGCTCAAAGAGACAAACAACTCCCAGAGACTGGGAAACAGCCTTTTGTGTTTATCTTCCCTACTTCAGCAAATAAACTGATAATTTTTTACATAATCTCCTTCAGTGTAAATGCTCCAGTGTTACCACTGCATACTGAACTGAACACATGTGAAACATTTTCTACATCAATGCTCTTTTGGAGTTCAGGCCAAAGACAAAGAAATTCAGCTATAAATGTGCTGTCCTGAGGTTGGGTTCCTGTGACCCGCAAGACATTAGATGTGACTCTCAACCCCATACATCTCATTAAGCAAGACTCTGAACTAAAAATCTGTGGACCCTGGTAAAAGAAAAAGCTATTGCCCATGTCTCTCTTTTTTTGGAGCAATTTATCAATATTCTTGAAATTATGTTGGCTCTACTATCAATTCCCAGTACCAGATGCAACAGAGTTCCACTATGCATATCTAAAGCCTCCCAACAATAAATACCTTTAGTATTTTCAGGATACAATCCAGACATTTCACCTTTTTACACCTCTAGTGAACAAAACTGACAGCAAGGCTCTTTTTACAGGCAATCAGTAAGTGCCCTTTAGTATAATTAACCTGATCTTAGTATCAATGCGCCAATCTCAGCAGAAAACATTGTGAGGAGGCCTCCATACAAGACGTCTGTCTTCCCCAGCCTTGTGCCCTCCAAATTATGTTGAACAGCAAATTTTATTATCCTCCAGTGAGCATTGGGATGATGGCGATTGCAGACCACCACATCAGGATAGCTCAAGACTGAGGAAGGCTGCAACAGGCTTGAAGACGGAACCTTATATGTTCATGCAAAAATGAAAAACAACAAAATAAACCCTCTACCCAGTTTACACACCACTCAATTGTGAGCAGAGTTATTGACAAGGCTATGGTAAGCCCTTTGCTACAGACCTTAGGGCTTTTTATTCCCTCATCTCAGGCGTGCCTCCATCCCATTTTCCCAGTGTGGTAAGGCTTTTACATATAGAAACCATTTCTCAAGCCGTTACACATCTGTCATCACTCAATTGCTAACGGACAGTTTTTCACACCACAAAATCTTCAGCAGCCAATCTTCAGCAGCCCCTCTAACACGTACTGATATACGCCTTCATTTACATTTTCAGAACATCATTCCTGTTTATTAGATTAGCAAACAATCAACCTGGACACGAGTATACACCTTTCCTTTCCAGCACTGGCAGCAGTCCAAAATACAGCACAAAGGAAATGTACACCATATGCATGGACATGTGTACATGGGTGCTGAAGAACTGAGTGCTGCATCACAACTTTTCTTCCTGTTTTCAACAGTTAAGCAGCCAATTTTGAAAACTGAACAAAGAGATGTAGCATTGCAAAGTGGCTGTAGCAAAACTGCCAAACAATTCTCAGGAGCCTGCTCCACAGGAAGCCAGTCTCTATGTTATTTGCATTCATTTAATTCTCAAGAGCTGCAAACTTCAGTCCCTTAAATTGATAATAGTGTTCCCTGTTGCTGAGAATCACCATACATACTGGAAATGCTACTTGCAAGAGCAGAGATTCCACATTACTGTTAAGTATGACTTTTCAACGAAATTTAGGCTGGGTCTTTCTGAAACAAAATATGTGCTATAGTTTTTACTATCTTTTTTCAAGTTATGTGAGAGACGGTTATGGAAACCTGGCATAATGGAATCATGAGGTGCACCCTATTATTTATACTCCTACAACCAGCTAATGCCTGTTAGTGGTTATCTTTGATCCTACTATAATTACTATAGTTATATTTAAATAATTCATTAGCTTTCATACCAAAACACATTGTGTAACCTGGTGGCTTCCATACACTTCAAATGCCAGAGCCATATTTTTGGAGGTAATGTGCCTGCTCAATGACAGTGTTTACTTTTAAATCTCCCTCCTCCTTTTCTTTTCCTTCCAACTAATTTGCAAGGCATAATCAGCTAAATGGGCTGTTCCTGGGTTTGGCTATTGGCAAGGTTGTTGAAAAAGGGGTTATGAGCATACATGTATATACAGTATTTTATATGAAAAGGATTCAGGCATAATGTTCACACCACCGAGGTAGTACTTTCAGGATTAACACGCATCAGTCTTGAAGCATTCCTCAGATCTTGCAGCTGCTTAGCTGGCTTTCCAACCCCTTCTTCAAACCTCTTTTCCACAACAGGAAGGACAGTTTCATACAGGAAAGACGCGTTCTGCCTAATGAATGCTTTCTTCTCAGGGTCCTGTTCACACCGTAAACTGTAATCAACATGCTGAACAGCCACGAGGATAATCTCCAACAGGCTTTCCAGCAGGACCATATGCAGCTCAGGAAAATACAGTCTGAGAGCCTCCTCCAAGAAACCCATGGTCTGTTTAGTGAAAGCCACAACTGTGTAACTAAGATTCACCCAGCAGTCATCGCCAGTGTACTGATCAAAACTTGTCACACCACAGCTTCTCATCTCTTCTCTAAGTTTTCCTAAAGCTTCTGGTGTCATCAGATTCATTCTTCTCCACATCTCCTCGGAGTTACGATGCTTCGTGGCCTCAATTATGATATCTTTGTAGCTCTGCAAAGCATCTTTGATATCCTTTACTAGTAGAGCATGAATGATGAAGGTGAGGTCCAGACCAATCTCGCTGAGCTGCTTGCAGTGTTCCTTTGCCACCTTCAATAACAAGTTACATTATTAATTTTAGCACACCTTGTTTAGTTTCACAACACAAACATTGCAACACTCTAAAAACAGATAATCATCATCCCATGAAGAAAGGAACGAAGACACATATTAATTAAGTCTTTTAAAAACTTCTGGATATAAAAAATGGCAACATACATTTTGTAAGTTTGGAAATATTTTGCTTGAGATTATAGCACCTACTTTTTTGGAGTTTAAAAGGAAAACTTGATGTAACCTTTCAAAAATACATTATATGAGCATTGTGTTTTGTCACATATTTCCCCTGAAATAGGTATCAATTATCCCAAAACATGCAAGTGGAAAAGTTTTTCTGATTTGGATATGGAGAGAAGGAAGAAAGGAAAATAACCCAACCCAAATCACATGAGTTTCAACTATGTTCCATAGAAAAGAACAGAAATGGATACTTGTTGCCTATTTTATTTACACCTGGGGCCTAAATTAGTTGCAACTAACTGGTTCTATTTGTTTCTGAAGAAAAGAGTCACAAATTAACTTCAGCCAGTTCAGGACCATAGTCTTTAACATTAGTAGAGAAAGAAAAGAAAAAAACCTTGCAAGTTGCAATGAAAAAAGAAAATTGTATGATCAAAATTTATTTCTCCTGCTGGTAATGCTAGCTACCATACCTTGCTGAGTTAGGCTGAGAGTCTGATTCCTCAATATACTTCTCAAAAGAAGAGCCAGACTATGTAGCCCTGGGCTAGCTGCACAGTTCCAGAGAGCTCCCAGAAGGGCATGATAAACCATTACAGAGTATTATAAAACTCATGCATAGTCCATAACCAGAGTGCATAAAATGTGTCCAGACTACTTTTTCCTGGCAGCAGAGAATAGCTGTTTTACCACTGGTGTGATCATACAATTTTGATCATACAATTTTCTACTTTCTTCAGAAACACCAGAGCACAGGTTGCTGTCCTCTGAAGACGCTGGCCACAGAGACTGGCAAAACGTTAGGAAGAACAACCTTCAGAACACGGCCAAAGAGCCTGAAAAACCCAGAACAACCAAATTTGTATTTTGGCAGATGAGCAGATCTGTAATGAAATAAAATTGAGTTACAAAGGCAGGACTCATAACTAGCCCTCTCCTTGCCAATTGTAAGAGGGAGGAGTTCTTTAATGCCAGAAGAGCAAGAAATGCAGGTTTTATTCTCTCAGGATTAAACCCTGTAATAGAACCAAAATGTAGGAGAGGCTTCAGTGACAGGCAAGGAGTTCACATGATATTTAAGGGGAACCTGTCAGATAAGTGCTTACAAATGGAATACTGAGTCTTAACCAGAAGAATGGACTATACAGATCACTATATTTCTTCCATATTTTCTATTATATGGCATGCTATTAACAGAAAAACCAAAGAAATGTCTGCTATAGCGCAGCAGTCACATGGAGTATGTATAGCATAACACACAGCTTTGATTCATTTCTCTCCTTTAGAACTTTATTCTTACCTTAACACATTCAGCAGCAGTAGATAAACTCTCCTTACTGTCAAACACCTGCTTACTGAACGCATCCACGAACATCCTCACAGCAGATCGGGCCCAGACTACAAAAGCAGAATAACACCCACTGTTGCCAGCAAAGTCCGTCTCAAACTCTCTCGCGGTCTCTAACAAGCTGGTGAAGAAGACATGGCAGAGCTTGTGAATGTACAGCAGTGTGGCCCCTTCAATACGCAACTGGCGGATGGCTGTGCGGACAGCCGCTTCCCTGTTCCTCAGGAAAAGTTCACATGCCTTGGTTGACTGACCTAATCGAATGAGTTGAGAAACAGCTCGGCGGGTTGCTCTCGGCCCACCTCGCAAGGACCTATCTGGAGACAGCTCAAAGACAAGCACACGCGTGAGCTGCCTGACTCTTTCATCCACTTTTGTTCGTAGCTCCCTGACTAACTGGGTCACAGGTTTATCGCTCAAGTACTCATTCAGCTTATCCAACAGGTCAACGGCTCCTTCAAAGTCTCTCTGAGCAATACAGACATCTAGGTCTTCAGGCAGCTCCTGAATCCACTCTAAGGATAGATCCACCACTTCTTCTTCGGGAGTTGCTTCCTCTTCTTCATCCTCTTCCTCAAACGGATTGGTGGGCTCTGGAGGGGGTGGGGGAGGGGCCCTCACCGGGACCTCTTGCTCCAGCCTTCGCTTCTCACTCAGGACACGGTTCCTCTTGGTCTCCTCCAGCACTTCCAGCCACTCCTTCTTGATCTTGGCGTTCTCAGCTTGGAAGAGGCGACTTTCCGGGAACATTAGCAACTTGAACATATCCTTCATGGGCGGGTTGTCCTTGACATTGACCACCGCCAGCCCGTCAAGCGGGTAGACGGCATCGTAACGGTAGGTACCCCGCCGGTTGGGCAGCCAGGCGGCCACCAGCAGGCAGTCGTTCAGAAGGAAAGTGTGGACTTTCTGGATCTGGACCATGTGGTCCGCGTCGTACTCCACGAGGTCCCCGTTGTAGACCAGGTACTTGCCGGGGCTCTCCCGGAGCAGGTCGCGGCAGCCTTCCACTTTCTCCAGCAGGGTGGTGAGGGTCCGCTGGCGGCCTTCCTCGTTGGCCGAGGCTTCTTTGGCCGACAAGGGCAGGAAGGGGTCGGCGGCGGCGGCGGCGGCGGCCACTCGCCGGGCGTTGGCCAGCGCCGGGTCATCGCGGTCGGCCTGCAGCAGCAGCGCCTGGTTGACGGCTTCCATGATCCCCTTCTGCTCCGTGAGGATGTGGCTGAGCTGGTACATCTCGCTCTCCAGGTAGCTGATCTCGCGGGCCGTCTCGATGAACTGCCGGTAGTTCTGGTAGACGTTGCGCTTGAGGCTCTGCGCCGTCTCCTCGCTCAGCGCCTGGATGCACTGCCGGTGCTCCTGCAAGTCCCGGTCGCCGTCCGACTGCTGGGAGAGCTGCTTCACGTACTCCTCCGCCACGTAGTTCCCGGACTCCAGCTGGAGCCTCAGCCGGCTGCTGCCGCTGCCGCCGCCGCCGGCTCCTCCACCGCCACCCGCCGGGGCCGCCTCGCCCAGAGACAGCGCCATGTCCGAAGCGGAGCAACGAGAGACCGAGGGCCAGAGAGGAAGGAAGACCTGCTGGGCCAGTGGCCACGCCTCCGCAAGCCGCAAAGAGCGCCGGGTAAACGTACGGCGTCAAGCAGCGACGGGTCGCTGGCGCGGTACACGCACGGCGCAGACGTCTTTCAAGGATGACCATAGACGCCGGAACTAGAGTGGCAACACAAGGTTTCGCTTCCCAGTTATTCGGCAAGCGGCGCAGGCGAGTCGCATAAAAAACACAAAAGCGAAACAAAGAAAGGAGGAAGCGCGAGGGGTTCGCTCCTAGTGTGTTGTTCTGCGCAGGCGCCAGTGTTTGAAGTTTGCGGCAGGGGACCTGCCGGCCGGCGGGCGGGCTGCAGTCTCTCTGGGGCGCGATGGACGAAGACTTTTTGCTGGCGCTCCGGCTACAGGAGGAATGGGAGGCGCAGGACGGCGACGACGGCCAGGTGGAGGCGGTGGAGGACGGCGCCGCCAGCAGCAGCAGCAGCGCTCCGCGGCCGCTCTCGGTGGTGGACGAAGCCTGGGAGCTGCTGGATCCCAACCCCGACATACGAGGCCTTTTCCTGCAGTTCAACGAGACCCTTTTCTGGGGGCGCCTGGCGGCCGTGGAAGTGAAGTGGAGCCCGCGCATGACGCTGTACGGGGATCGGGGCGATGAGGGGCCGAAGGGCGGTGGGTGGGGGAGCCCCCTGGCCGAGATGGCCTCCCTAGAGGCCCGCCGCGTAATAGGGTCTGGAGGCGGTTGATCGCCTACGGGGGAGAAAGGCAGGGCTCGGAAAAGTTAGACCAAAAAACGAAAGCAAAGCGTCCTGCTGATAGGCCGTCCCCTAGCGCTCAAAGCACTCTCTGGACGGTTTACAAGTTACGCTGTACGGTGATCGGGGCGATGAGGGGCCGAAGGGCGGGGGGTGGGGGAGCCCCCTGGACGAGATGGCCTCCCTAGAGGCCCGTCGCGTAATAGGGTCTGGAGGCGGTTGATCGCCTACGGGGGAGAAAGGCAGGGCTCGGAAAAGTTAAAGCAAAAAACGAAAGCAAAGCGTCCTGCTGATACGCCGTCCCCTAGCGCTCAAAGCACTGATCGGGGCGATGAGGGGCCGAAGGGCGGGGGGTGGGGGAGCCCCCTGGACGAGATGGCCTCCCTAGAGGCCCGTCGCGTAATAGGGTCTGGAGGCGGTTGATCGCCTACGGGGGAGAAAGGCAGGGCTCGGAAAAGTTAAAGCAAAAAACGAAAGCAAAGCGTCCTGCTGATACGCCGTCCCCTAGCGCTCAAAGCACTCTCTGGACGGTTTACAAGTTAATATTGCCCCCCCCCCCGCGAGCTGGTTACTCGTGATAATATTTTGTGGCCCAGAAAAGTTCTTTCCAAGCTGTTGCAAAAAAAGCAAAAAGATGATTCCTCCTCTCCACCCTCAAAAGCCCCATAGCATGCATGCATGCATGCATTTATTCATTTATTTTATATCCCGCCTATCTGGTCTTGCGACCACTGTGACAGTACTTGTAGCAGATTGTTGCAAAGTGGTGAGCTTGGCAGTAAAAGACTCTGGCTCTTACTCTGTAACGTTAGTGCACTAACAATAACGTTAGTGCAGTGCTGACAGTCAAGGAAAGGCGGAGTTAGATATTGTACTGATCTCTGGATGTTGCCTTATTATAACCCATGACCCACTTGAATCTATTGTTGGACGCTGTCCAAAGTTAGCAGAATTGAGATGCCAGTGTAAATTTTTACTCTGGATCGGAGTGTGTGCATGCAATTTTTGAATGCCCCCTGTTGGGAAAAAAAAGTGGTGCAAATAGAAAGCCAGCAAGTTCTGGACTGCGCTCTGCTTTGTCAACTTTAAATGTCTGTGGGAAGGTTCGGAGTAAGGTTTATTGCTGTTTTTAACACAAGGGGACTTTTAAGGTTTTTGATGCTACTGTTTCTGTCTTAGGTGGTATAGCATGTTTTACCACTTAATTCTGCTGCATACTAAAGTAAAGCCTGTGGCTTAAATTTGTAAATATACTATAACTCTTTTCTAGATATAAGACCAACCTGTTGCCAATCCGTAGTTGTGGTTATCCCATAATTGCTTCAGGTATGCTATGCTTTGCTTTAGAAGAAGCAAGCAAATAACCTCCTGGCTTTTCTGCTGCTTCTGATAAGCTTGTTGATGTTTAGCAGAGTATGCCCACAGGCATATAAAAACTGCTGTAACTCAGAAAGAGAGTGAGGAAAACAAAACAAAAATGGTCTATGTTTTAAAATGCAGCTGTAAATCAGAAGTGGTATCATTCAAAGCAGAAATTGTCAGAAACTGCCATTATGCAAATATTTTAAATAAATATAAGATGTGGAGTTCATAGTATGAGAATAGCCATATGGTTCATTATGGCTATGATAAAAGTCCAGTTGCATTATTAGGAGGCTCATGTCCCTTATCTTTTTATGTTGATGTGGCCCAATGATGTTTACTCGCATATAGAGTGGCATGTGTTCTGTAACTTACCTGACCCTATGAAGGGTACAATCACTGTATTCTTTTTGTATTGCTTCCAATTTTTGAGATGTTGAATTAATTGGGGGTGCGTGAAGTATTTGACTTTGGAAATTTGTTGACACTAATTATAAGATAAGTAAGAAAGCTCTTCATTGCTTATTTCATCTTTCCCTTGAGTCAAGTGAGGAGGTATACCTGTTGTTGAACAAGGACATAACAGGCTGCCATTGAAATTAAATAAACATTGTGCTTTGTCTTCTAGATGTGCAGGAGTTTGCTGCTATGAAAGACATGGTGGAATGTGCTCTATTCGACTTAGTGAACCCCTTTTAAAATTGCGGCCAAGGAAGGATCTTGTAGAGGTAGGATGGACATGGACGACCGTGTGCAAATTTGCTTCATCTCACAGGCTTGATTGACTCACTAAAGGGAGCCAAAACTTTTAGTTTGCAAGACCTGGGCAAGGCTGGTAATGATTGGCCTTGTGGTGGTCATCCTGTAATTGGGCTGCCGTCTTGAAGTGTCTTGATGGCACAAACAGCAACAACAACATACTTGTGTACCCACATAAACAAGACATATCGTGTACACGGCAAAACATGTTTTGGATAAATCTTTAGCACTTTGGAATGAAAGGCTATGCCACATTCTCAAAACTCCTCGAAAAGATATGCAGTTAATGTATATTTGGCAAAAACCAAAGAAAAATAAAGACAAACATATTATGGCACCTTAAAGACTAACTGCTGTATTTTGATGTGAGTTTTTGTGGACAAGGCCACTGCCTCAGACAATGATGCCGTGTAATAGGCAAGTCATGATGGCAGTTACTATGATGAGACATGTGGCTGCCTTATAGCATCAGCTTGATCCATAGTGAGCAGGACAGGTCTCAGGATGGTAAGAAAGAGACTGTTTAAGCATTGCACTTATCCTGTAGCTTTCTCTATGCCCAGGGAAACTCTTGGGTTGGCAAGTAATGAAAGAGAGCTTATCGAGGCACCCTCCTGTAAGATGAGATAGATTTGGTGCAAGTCTTCTAGCCACTGCTCAAAAACTGGGAGGTATGGCGCATTGATGAAGCAGGGAGAGGTTTCTGAGGCTTCTCTGCACTCTTTTTGGGTTGCAGCAATACCTTATTTTCTCCACTTTTTCCACTGTTATGTTCATTTATATTGTGAGAGGAAGTACCTCCTTGAAGTGTTGTGGGATGCATCTATATGTAATGTACAGTCTCTACTTAAGAACTTAATCCGTATTGGAAGGTGGTTCTCAAGTTGAAAAGTTCTTATGTTGAATCTGCATTTCCCATATTTATTTTCTCCACTATGTTCATTTATATTGTGAGAGGAAGTACCTCCTTGAAGTGTTGTGGGATGCATCTATATGGTCCGTTCTGGCTGTTTTTTTTGTTATGTAGAGGTGCGTTCGTACATTGAAGCATTAGTTCCCATAGGAACTAATGCAAAGCTGGTTAATACGTACTCTACCACTAGGGGGAGAATTTTTTTTTAACCTAAGATGACCTAAGGTTAAAAAAAGAGCAGGAAAGGTTTTTTTTCCTGTTCTTATCTTGGATTTCTGTTCTCAAGTAGAAGCAAAATTTAGCAAATGGAGCTGTTCTTAAGTTGGATTGTTCTTAAGTAGGGACATTCTTAAGTAGAGACCCCACTGTACCTTACTGCCAGTGGTAAATGCTCCCAATTTCCTTCCCTCTGGTGTGCCCACAAATCTGCTACTCAGATTTGTGGTGCCTACTCAGAAATGTAGGAAAGGAAATTCCTATTGTGCAAGTGAAAATCTAATTGTGCAGCCTTCAGTTTAGTCCTATATAAGGCTTACTTATACATATGTAAATTTAAACATGTGTCTAATTGCCTGCTCGTACAACTTGAGAAAGAACTATTACAGCTTTTTCAGATATTGATATGTCCTCTTTTTTCTTTTTTGAGGTAATTTTGAAGTAATTTTCTCATTTTGAGGTAATGTGCTGCATTCAGAAGTGTCCAAAATTTTAAAAATCTGGCTCTGATGTTTGAAATCAGTAAAGACTAAAGGACTGTAACAACCCAACAGTTCCAAATAAAGGGGGGAAGTGAAAACTAATAGTTTTGAAAATTGATTTGTATGGGTTATACCCGTTTCTGATAGAGGCCAGTCTGGTTGTAAACAATTATCCATTAAGAAAGGAAGCATGGAAATAATTCAATAATTGTTTTATTTTCAGACTCTCTTGCATGAAATGATCCATGCCCTGCTGTTTGTTACTAATAATGACAAAGATCATGATTCTCATGGCCCAGAGTTCTGCAAACATATGCACCGGATAAATCGCTTAACGGGTGCCAATATTACGGTAAACATTCTTGTGATACACTGTAATCTATGAAGACATGAATACTTCAAGGGCAACAGAAGAGTAGGTGGCATGCTATTGGCATGCTATTGGCAAGTAGCGATGGCAGATGTAACCGGAGTTGTATAACAAGATGTGGGTGAATTAAGTGACAGAAAGGACTGGGATCATGAAAGTGACAATAACTCAAACTGAAATACATTAAAGGTACTACAAAGAATATGACTCTAGAATTCTGTCTCCAGAATTAAGGTAATTCTTAAGAAAAACCATCTGTGGGCTTGCTGTCTCCAGAATTAAGGTAATTCTTAAGTTATATATAGATATAGAGATACACACACTTAGATATAGATATAGACACACACACACACACACACACACACACACAAATATAGAGACACACATGGGCATGTGTGTGTAGTTAAATAAAGATACTTAAACTAGCCATATATTTTTGACAGTAGCATGTATGGTTCTGTTTATAGTCAGACAATACATAGATATAGAGACACACATGGGCATGTGTGTATAGTTAAATAAAGATACTTAAACCAGCCATATATTTTTGACAGTAGCGTGTATGGTTCTGTTTATAGTCAGACAATACTTTGAACTGAAAATACTTACACAAAACTCTTCTGTAGTGACTAAGGGATCTTTTTTATACTTAAGATCTCTCTGTGTACATAATCCCTCGTGTCTGCACTGGCAGCTATGGATCAGTTGGTGTCTGTTGTTAAAGTGAAGAAGAATGTTTTACATAATTTTTTTTTCATTTTCATTTTTGGTTGATCTTAGATCTATCATGAGTTTCATGATGAGGTGGATTCCTATCGTCAGCACTGGTGGCGTTGTAATGGGCCTTGTCAACATAGAAAGCCATATTATGGCTATGTGAAGCGTGCAATGAATAGAGCTCCATCTGCAAATGATACTTGGTGGTCTGAGCACCAACAGACCTGTGGGGGTACATTCACCAAGATCAAAGAGCCAGAAAACTACTGCAAGAAGGGCAAAGAGAAGAACCAGCAACCGCAGTTCCTTGCCGATGACAAAGGTATTTTGTTTCATTCTCTATCAGCTTAGTAATTACTGTAACTATAATAGATTTATATATGTTTCTTAAGAGCAGATGAAGGAATAATGCTAACTTGGACATTAGCTGAATTTTTCTTCTTCTGCTAGATAACGCTGTATTTCACTGTCCTTTGAAATGTTGTGAAAAAATTTCTGAGCTGATACTTCTCTAGATTTAATAACTCATATCTTAACCTCAGTAATATCTGTTCTGAAAGCTGTTTGTTTTTTATGTTTTTGCCTCTGTGAAAGCTGCCTTGTAAAGAAGAGGCGTGCCTTGTTAACAATCAAATGTATAAAACTAGCTAAAGTGTAAATCATGTTGGGCTGGTGCAAAGCAATTGTATGTTAAAATAGTTGACATTGCCATTTGAACTGAAAGTATTCCTTTTTTTGCAGGGAGGACTTCTGGATGCAGTATACAAAGCATAATTCCTTTCAGTGGGAAGGGATATGTCCTTGGAGGAAAAACTAGTGTGTCATCATCCTTAGACAAACCCACCAGTGCAAGCTACTCCAAGGACAGAGAGCTCCTCAGATCACCACATCATTCATCCCCTACTTTGCCTAGACCAAATCCTAGGAATGAACAAAATATTTCCTGTAAAACTAATTCCCTTCCGTTTTTTTGTAGTGGTGATAAAAAGAACTTTGATTCCAGCCTTACACTTCCTAAAGTTTCTGTTGCTAATAAAAAAGCTTACACTAATGTCAATGGCTCACCACTTAAAAATGTTTCATTTAATATAGGAAGATCAAATAAAACTACTGCATGGGATTTACCACGAAAAGGAACACCAAGAAAAAGCATTTCGCAGCCAGTTGCGTCAGCTCATAAATCCCCAACTCCAAAGTCTCAAGGAAACAGCCCTACACAGAGTGGTGTACCACCCAAACGAGCAAGAATGGAAAACACAGTTGCCTTTGAAAACTACTTTCTAAAGCAAAAGGATTCAGGAGGGACTACCCCTCCTGTAAAGAGCAAAGCTGAACCAGTGGCCTTGGTAACTGCTAGTGTCAATGATGAAGAGAGAAAGGTTTGCTGCCCTGTCTGCCAGTCTGAAGTTTTGGAGGCTAAAATTAATGAACACCTAGACTGTTGTCTTTCAGGTTTTGTTTAATGTGTTTCTAATCTTAAGAAAGCTGCTTCGCTTGGAATTGGCTCATCTGAGTGTTCCATGTATGTTTGTTGTCTCTTTTTGTGGCATCATCTTTATATGCAGTGGTGTGGAAGGAATGAGGAACATGTCACTGCAGATATTATTAATCTGGGAAAAGCAGATATGCAGATATTATTAATCTGGGAAAAGTTGATAGTAGTTACAACCCAGCAACTAGGAGGTATACAGTTTTTTCAGTCTGGATACGTATCTGTTTTATAAACCTTTATACATACTAGCAGTGCAGCAAGTTCTGAACATTCCTATGTAGACATGAGTAAAATACGTGTGATAGGAATTTTAAAGAAATTACTATGCATGTAAGGTTTTAAGTGCATAATTTAAAGAAAAAGCAATATATAAAATTCTATTACAATTGAAAAAAAGCAGTACATGTTTGGTTTCAAGGAGGATGATTTAAGTACCTGTTCTTCCTTTACAAGTAGCAATGCTTTTGAACTCCAAAAGGCTTCAGACTGTTTATCAATAGGATAAAAATCAATGTGAATTCATTTATTCACCCTGTCAGGTAGGAGGATGAGATCAGAGTACTGATCCTAAAACTTCTTATTGCCCCAGTTCATCATAGTCCTCCTAAGTGCATCAGCCCAAATGAAATAACTGTCTGGAATACAGTATACATATTGGGAGAGGAAGTTTCAAGAGATATTAGATGCCATTAATGCAACTTGCTTAAACTGAGCAGGTGGGTTTCTTTTATTGGACCCAGTTCATAAGTTTGGCTCTGATCAAGATGGATGCTTCCTGCTTCTTGGAGTGTGTGCTTTTCATAGGGAAACACTGCAATAATTATCTTAAGACACTCCAGTGATCTGAATTGATCAATTAATTTCAAGATTAAGTGAGAGACAGCCAGAGTTGTCACTCAAATTTAGTTCTTTATCAGAATCATATTTAGATTGTAAGATCTTAATGTTTAAAAAACGTTATAAGTCTTAACCTTTTAAAGTGATTTAGAGGAGTCATTTGCTACTGTGGAAGAATCTTTTTTTAAGACCAATTCCTGTTCTGTTTAAATATCCTACCCAATTCTGACATAAGGGAAGAGTTGGGATATCCTCAAATTCATGATGATTATAGTGTTTATGCATAAGCTGATTATATGTATGACTGAGCCCCAAGAGGAAAAAAATATGCCCCATTTGTACCACCCAATTGCTCCAATGAGTTCAGAAAAATCATAAGGTGTTTGTCATTATTGTTAGCCAGACAACTTCTGGCTAATAGCTGTTATTGCACAAGAGATAAGCTGCTGTCTGTTTCACCTGAAAAGTGCCTACAAATGAAGCCATTGATGATATGTATATATTTGTTCATGTAAAATGAATGGCTCACTCTTGCTGAAGTACTTGAAATGAGCATTTGATAACTGTTAGATTTTGACATATAAAATAAAACATCTCTTCAGAAACAGTAATTGAAATACCGAGTTCTGTTTTAGAATTAAAAATTTCAAAATAAATCTAAGTATGATAGAAAATTCAACAGAAAATAAGTTAGATTTCATATTTTACATTTTCTTATGAAATAAAACTAAAAGCCACATTGTTTTTGCAGATTCAATCCATATGTTTAGCTGTTAACAAGTAATTTCCTAGTGTTAAAGACCCTGTGTTCTACTGAGTTTTATTTCATATTGTTGAATGAGCAATCTTGCTGAGTAAAGTTTCATTACAAATCTGTTGTCAGTGAATTTCGTGAAGCATCTGCTCAGGCTCTTGAAAAGGAGGTTACCTACCTGTAACCATAGTTCTTCTAGTGATCCTCTGTAATTTCACACAAATGGGTTGTTTTGCACCTGCACTGAACGTCTCAGAAGATTTTAGAGCTAAAAGTAACTATTTAGTGAGATGTTCCCCCGTGGGGCACATGCTCCTCCCACCCAAGATTTCCCTCAATTTCTAAAATTTGTCCACCGGGCAGAAGAGCCATTTAAGATAACCCATGACGGACAGAGGGGAGGATGGGTAGGATGTGTGAATTCAGAGGACCACTAGAAGAGCTATGGTTACAGGTAGGTAATCTCTTTTTCTTCTTCATGGCCTCTGTGAATGCACACTAATGGGTGACTAGCAAGCTTCACTTACTGGATGGTGGGACATCACGGTAGGAAGGATGCCATAACAGCTCTGCCAAATCGAGCATCGTTGCATGCTCTCACATCCAGGTGGTAGTGCCTGACAAAGGTCGATGGGGTAGACCATGTTGCAGCACGACAGATGTTAGGTACCGCAACCCCACACTGGAAGGCAATAGATGTTGACAGCACTCTAGCGGAATGTGCAGTCAGGTGGTCAGGAGGTGGCTTGCCTGACAGTTCATAAGCCAAAGAAATGGTTTGGATGATTGAGAGCAGGCTGGACCTCCCTTATGAGGACCATGAAAACATAGGAAACATCTGTTGGTTTTCCTGAAGGCTTTGGTTCTATCGATGTAAAAGGCAAGAGAGCATCTTATGTCAAGCATGTGGAGCATGCACTCTAAAGGAGTTGATGGAAATGTGAAGAACGATGGTAATATGATCGGTTGATTTAGATGAAATTCCAAAACAATTTTGGGTAGAAAGGACACATCAAAATAAGTCACTTTATCCAGATGGAACTGAATAAAAGATGGATCAGAACGTAGAGAGGCAAGTTCACTGGTTCTTTTAGCAGATGGTATAGCTATTAGAAAAAATGTCTTCAAAGTAAGTAATTTAAGGTTTGAAGATGCCGTAAGTTTGAATGGTGGTCGCATCAGAGCATTAAGGACAATTTGTAATGACCACTGAGGAATAATACGTTGGCGTGGTGGACGAATGTTATTAAGTCCCTTGAGGAATCTTTTAACAGGGTGAGATAGAAGTTTTGCTGCTTTTGAATTACAGTGGTGCCTCGCATAACGGGTGCCCCATTTAATGACGAATCCGCATAGTGACGATGTTTTTGCGATCGCTTTTTTTCCCCCTATGGGGGAAAATCGCTTTGCGATGATTGGTAAGCTGTTTCGCTTACTGATTTTCGCATAGCGATGATTTTTCCCCAGCTGATCGGTGGTTCCAAAATGGCTGCCGGGTAAAACAGGGATGGATTCCTCGCTTACCGGGCAGCTAAAATAGCTGCCGTATGGAGGATTTTCGCTTAAAAGGTAAGTTTTAAGCCCATAGGAATGCATTGAAGGGGTTTGAATGCATTCCTATGGACTTTTTAATTTCACATAAGGACGAATCCGCATAGCAACGATTTTTGCTGCACGGATTATCATCGCTATGCGAGGCACCACTGTATCTGATTAATGGGCAACGATGGCTGAAATATAGACCTTTAAAGTGGAATGAGCAAATCCAAATTCAAAGACATGTAGTAAAAAGGTAAGTAGTATTTTCAGAGTTATTTGTTTCAGTGTACTTTAGAAAGGCTTTCCATTTATTCGAATACAGGAGCTGAGTTGAAGGCTTTCGAGCTCAATCTAGGACTCACTTCAAGGCAGGAGTATCCTCCAAGCTGTCATCTTCAATGATGGGAGGTCTGGATGGTAGACCATCCTGTCGTCCTGTGTTAGGAAGTCTGGAACCAGAGGGAGTCGAAATAAGTCCATTGACATCGACCTAAGGTGAGTAAACCATGGTTGCCTTGGCCACCAGGGAGCTAGGAGTTTGATCATGTTCGATTGGAAGTGCTGAATATGGATGATTGTTTGTTGAATGAGCGGTATTGGTGGGAATAGGTACAGCAATCCCCTGTTCCAATCTGTCATGAACACGTCCCTGATGGAGTTCTTGTCTGCTCCAGTGGAAGTGCTGAATGTGGATGATTGTTCGTTGAACAATTGGTGGGAATAGGTAAAGCAACCCCCTGTTCCAATCTGTCATGAACATGTCCCTGATGGAGTTCTTGTCTGCTCCAGTTCGAGAGCAATAGACACTGCATTTGGCGTTCACACCCGAGGCAAATATATCGATGGTTGGAACTCCCCATCCGCGATAGAGTTGATTGAAAATGGCACATTTGAGGGACCACTTGTGAATTCTCGATGTCATACGGCTGAGGTGATCTGCCATATAATTGTCCATGGAGATGTACAGTGCAATAGGGAAGATGTGATGTTGGCAACACCATTCCCACAGGTCAGTGGCCAGGTACAAGAGGGACAAGGAATGTGTTCGACCCTGTTTGTTTATGTAATATAAGGCAGTTGTATTGTCCATTGCAAGTTGCACAACTCAACCCTCGATGATTGAGAGAAAGGCATGAAAAGTTCTGATGATAGCTAGGAGCTCGAGATGATTGATGCGGAGTAATTGCTCTTGTCTTGTCCATAGACTATGTATTCTGTAATGAAGACAATGTGCTTCCCAGCCAGATGGGCTGGCATAGGTGGTGACCTGCACAGTCGGCTGGAAAGGCATTAAGGGTCGTCCAACCAGGAAGTTCGGCATCAATTTCCACCAGGCAAGTTGTTTGGCTAACTCTGTTGTTACTGTTGACCTCATAGATGGGTGGTCTGTCATTGGGTTGAACAGGGACAGATACCATGAGTGGAGTGACCTCATTTTGAGCTGTGCATACTGGATTACCGATGTTGTGGAAGCCATGAGCCCAAGGAGGTGTTGGACATGATGGACTGGTATGGACGATCGAGATTGAAAGGGCTGAGTTGCCTTCTTTATCTTTGTAATTCATTGTGAGGGAATGAAAGCCCTGGCTTGAAGTGAGTAGAAGAGAGCTCCAATGTAAGTGACTGACTGTGTTGGTTCTAGGTGAAATTTTGTGTAGTTCACCTTGAGACCGAGGCTTTGAAGTGTGTTGTGTGTGATGGTTGTAGCTCTCATGGCGTTGTGGTACAATGTCACAACTATCAGTCAGTCACCTATATAAGGATAGATGTTTATGCCCTGAAGGTGGAGATATGCTGCGACCGGTGCCATGCACTTCATGAAAGTCCTTGGTGTCGTGGAAAGTCCGAATGGCAGGGACCAGAATTGAAATTGCTTCTCCATCAGTCTATTGCTGTTCCTTATCATGGGGTCAGAAAATGGAGAAAGTAAATTGAAGTGAAAGTGACTGGAAGTGTAAGCATCTCTAGCAACAAAGATTTGAAGATCATTTCTGGCCAGGTTACAAGTACATGGCAGCTGAGAGCAAGGAAGAAGGTAACTGTTTTCCTTTGTTGCCCACCCTTCTAAACAACCAGATAAGAGAAAATTTGCTGTTGCTATTTTAAGGGGCATCTTGCCCAACTGTCTCTCCCCCACCCCCATTGACAGAACCCATACATTGCCAAATTAAACACTCTTTCTCACTGAAGAGATCACACATACACACCAGGTATTATCCCTTTGGGGGGGGGATTTTAAAGCATGGACATGAGAATGTAAAAGAATCCAGGATTGTTGGATCAGCCCAAAAACTTGTCCAGTAATCTATTCCCACAATATTTTATTTATTTGATTTTTATACCACTTATCTGGCTACCAAAGCCACTCTGTTTTGTTGTTGTTTAGTCGTTAAGTCATGTCTGACCCCGCTCTGGGCAATGTAAAAGTAAGATAAAACAATGAATTGACAACAAGGGTACTCAACAACAACCAGGCAAAATATAAAAAGTGCTAAACAAATTATGGTAAAAAACCACGTAAGACTTAGGAAAATAAAATGAAAATATGGCAGTGTATTGGATGTTAATTATTAAAGGCACTATTGCATCAGGATGTATTCAAATCTGGGAAGGCCTGTCTGAAAAGCCACATTTTTAGTTTTTTAAAGGTTCCCAATGAAGGGTCCAGGCAGAGTTCAGGCAGGAGACTGTTCGGTTAACACGGGGTGACCACCAAGAAGGCCCGATTTCTGGTCATTTCTCAGGCATTTCTTGGGTTCAGGACTCTCAACTGTGAGAGATCTTATAGGACAGGCAGATTTGATCAGAAGGAGATGTTCTGTCAGATAACAAGGTCCTAAACCATTTAGGGCCTTGTAGGTTAACACCATCAGCTTGAAGCTGGCCCAGAAGTGAACAGGTAACCAGTGCAAAGCAGCCAGTGTGGGGGAAATATATTGGTATCTCCTAACCCCACTCAAAAATCTGGCCACCAAGTTCTGGAACCATTGGGAGTCGCTGCAACAGCCCCAAAGGTAGCCCCACAAAAAGAGTATTGTGGTAGTCTAATCTCGAGACTACCAGTGCATGAATCAGCATGGTGAGGGACCCGGTGTCAAGATAGGGACACAACTGGGCAATCTGCCTTAGATGGAAATAGGCAGAATGGACCACAGACGCTATCTGGGATTCCACTGACAGCGCCGGGGCCAGGAGTATGCCCAAATTGCATACTTCATCCTTCACAGAAAGAGTAGGCAAGTAGGCAAACATGCCTGTGGGGAACTCACCAGCACAGACATTTGCACATATGGTAGCCTTTACTGCATTGATAA